TGCTGTGCTCGAGTGAGGTGAAATTTCAGTACCTTCAACATAGCTTCCCGAGCTTGCAAACTTTGATCAACAGCTGCAACATCTGAATCTCCAGGTACATAAACTATATGCAATGGTGGTGGAAATCCATACAAAACCTCAAATGGAGAAATTTGGGTAGCAGTATGAAAATTAGTGTTATACCACCACTCAGCAAGAGGTAACCACTTGCTCCACTCCGTCGGACGATCACCAGTCATGCACCTCAAATAATTTTCAAGACACCTATTCACCACCTCTGTTTGCCCATCAGTTTGAGGATGATAAGCAGAAGAACATTGCAGTTCAACCCCCTGGAGTTTGAACAACTCCCGCCAAAAATTACTAAGAAAAATGGGATCCCTATCAGATACAATTTCTTGAGGCAATCCATGCAACTTAAAGACATTGTCCATGTAAGCTTGTGCAACAGTAAGAGCTGAGTAAGTGTTGTAAGGCAATGAAATGTGCATATTTTGTAAGTCTATCAACAACAACAAAGATAACATCTTTGCCATAAGATTTTGGAAGGCCTGTAATGAAATCCATACTAACTTGAGTCCAAATTGCTTCAGGAATTGGCAGAGGTTGCAATAGCCCTGGAGTTGGAGTATTTTCTGGTTTGTAACGCTGACATACATCACACTGCCTTATGTACTGCCTCACATCTTTCTCTAAGCCTTTCCAATAAAACAAAAGTGCAAGCCTTTTTGTGGAAGCTTGAATTCCAGAGTGACCTCCCATTGCACTATCATGCACCAAATGAATCAACTTCCTCCTAAGAGCAGCATTATTCCCAACAACTAATTTGCCTTTTCATCTTAGTTGTCCTTCAGACCAAGTGTAAGCAGAATCCTTTAAAGAACCTTGCTGTAATTTATTACAGATTTCCCGAAGCACTGGATCAACTTCCCAGCTAAGTTTCACCTCTTCATAAATACCAGGAAGAATCCTAGAGACTGCCATTTGCATGAGCTGGTTACTGGACACCCGAGAAAGGGCATCTGCTACCACATTTTCTTTGCCCTTTTTATAACTAATTGAAAAATCATAACCCATTAATTTAGCCAACCAAGCTTGCTATAAAGGAGTGCTAATCCTCTGCTCTAAAAGATACTTCAAACTCTGGTGATCTGTTTTGACGATAAAATGCCTTCCAGTCAAATAATGTGACCACTTACGCACTGCATAAATTAGAGCTAACAACTCCTTTTCATAAACTGATAAACTTTGATGTCTTAAGGACAAAGCCTTGCTGATAAAGGCTATTGGATGCCCTTGTTGTAAAAGAACAGCACCAATTCCAGTATTAGAAGCATCGGTCTCCACTACAAACTCCTTGGAAAAATCTGGCAAAACCAACACTGGAGTTGTTGTCACAGCATGCTTAAGGGATTCAAAAGCTTCACTAGCCTCCCTTGACCAATGAAACCCCTCTTTTTTAAGCAATTCTGTCAAAGGTTTACTCAAACTCCCATAATTCCGAATAAACCTTCGATAATATCCTGTCAAACCGAGAAATCCCCTCAATTCCTTAACAGTCTTCAATTGAGGCCATTGCTGAACAGCTAAAATCTTCTTAGGATCAGTAGAAACTCCTTCTTCAAAGATATAGTGCCCAAGATAATCTATCCTATCACAACCAAAGAAACATTTGCTTTGCCTCGCAAATAGCTCATTATCTCTCAACAGCTTATATACCTGTCTCAAATGGCAGATATGCTCTTCCAAGCTCTTATTGTAAACAAGGATATCATCAAAGAATACCAAGACAAATTTTCGAAGGTAAACTCTGAAAATATCATTCATAAGAGATTGAAAAGTAGAAGGTGCATTGGTGAGACCAAATGGCATGACTAAATATTCATAATGCCCTTCATGAGTTTTGAAAGCTGTTTTTGGAACATCTGGTGGATACATTCAAATTTGATGGTATCCCGATCTAAGATCAATCTTAGAAAAAATTTTTGATCCTTGCAACTCATCTAACAGCTCTTCAATGAGGGGTATGGGATATTTATCCTTCACAGTCTGCTTATTTAGAGTTCTGTAATCTATACACATGCGCCAAGACCCATCTTTCTTCTTAACTAGAACTACAGATGAAGCAAAAGAACTTACACTGTGCTAGATGATACCCGTTTGCAACAATTCTTGAGTCATCTTTTCAATGACATCCTTCTGTACTCCTGCATATCTGTATGGCCTTTGATTAATAGGATCAGTTCCTGCCTTTAAACAAATTTTATGATCATGAGCTCTGTGGGGAGGAAGGCCTTTAGGTTCTGCAAAGAGATCAACATACTCTAATAATAATTTCTCCAA